CATTGATCAACGACCACTGACCAACGACCACTGACCAACGACCACTGACCAACGACCACTGACCAACGACCACTGACCAACGACCATTGATCAACAACCACTGATCAACAATCATTGATCAACAACCATTGATCAACAACCACTATCTTTACTTGAGTAACTGTTTTTCTGACCCCTTCGTGCTCACATTGTCAGAACACGCTCGGTAGCGTCATGCGTCTCACTCGCTCTCAGGTAAAACTGAACTCAAATGAAGCTTCATTACTGATTACAAAAACCAAGAAAGACACAAGAAACCTAACCTGAGAGAGCGGAGAGGAAACCCCGGGAACACAGCCCGACATCATCTAACTCAGTGACTCCCAAATTTTTTTGCTAGGCCCCCCTTTGTTTTACAAGAAAAGCGAACAAGATAAAACATACGCAGGCAAAGATCCAACCTGACAACATCAAACAGAAAACACTGACTATAAAACCCAGGATCATGACAGAGCTCATGACTTGGTTTAACAGACTTAAGAGTTTTCGTTTTACGTCACTTCAAACACATAACAGGCTGTTTGTGTGTTAATCACACGGGGGCGTGGCATGGAAACAGACCTGAGTGTTTGCCTGTTTCTCTGTGGGACGGTGTTTTTATTTGTTTTGTTTTTGCCACAGAACGACAGCAGGTGTGCGTCAGCATCGAGCTCGCTCTACAGAAGAGGAGCGAGCATGAAGCGAGGAACGCTTTTAAGCGTCAGCTAATCTGAAATGCAGCGTTTCAGTCTGAGTCTCACCTTGGACGAAGTCATCGGCTGTGTGATTGACAGCTGAGTTCTTCTTCACGGCCGAGGAGCGATAAATGATGTGCCGCCGCCCCTCCTCCTCCACCTCCTCTTCCTCTCCTCCTCCTGCTCCTCCCAGCCTCCACCGATCCAGCGGCTCGATGAAAAACTCGTCCTCGCCGGTGCGGATCATCCCTGCCTGGGAGACACGAGAGCGTTAATCTGAGCCAGCATTAATCTGAGCCAGCATTAATCAGTCTGAACGATTATTATCACAGCATCAGTCAGCAATACTTCAGTGTGATTCAGCATCTTTACAGTATCATTGTTCCAGACACTGATGCAGTGAACAGTCAGGGTCAGATTACTGCCTTGCCCAAAGGAAACACCTGAAGAGGAACAGGTGATACCAGTAAAACCAATTAAACACCTGGAA